AAAAAAAAAGTATTCATGAGATATTCTAACCGCATGGTATTGAGGCTATTTTTTCTCGTGAGGTATATATGTGTGTATTAAGTATGACTATCTGGGAAGTGAAAAATAGAGCGTTGCATTTGTCATTATGAATGTGAGATAGAAGATATGTTGGAAAGTATTCATTCGCGTTGTGCTTGGCATATCACGAAAGGAGGAAAAGCTTCTATATGAAATAATTTGAGAGATCTGCCTGGTTTGTAAATGTGTGTGCTGAATCTGTACATCTGTAGGTAAAATCGAGGAATGATATCAGTTTCATTGTACCTGATTCCTCACAACATAACATTTATCGATAGATATTAATAGATTTTTTTATCATGGCACGTACTAAAGTATATTATTTCATCTTCAAAATTGAGGGTGGAATTTTTCTCTCACCATTCACCGATATGTCTCCAAATAAAATGGTGAAATGCCGTTACGGGATATAATATATGACTTCACAATCGTCTTTCCACGGTGGGACTACATTACGTAATAAAGAAATCATTCTTTTCGAGCATATCTTTGCTATATATCATTAAAAATGGGGAGGGTATGCTAGAGACATCTAAACCGTCAGGGTGGTACATGTAAGATGTCTTATCATCGGCGTGGGGCAGGATTTTGGTTAGACTAGCCCTCTCGTTACGATTTCTGTTTCATATATATATACATAAGCGGGTATTTTTAACCATTCTATTGAACAAACAGCTGTCCAGTATATGTTTTGATATGCACTTTACAACGTTACTTATATTCTGATGCTACTCAAATCTAAATATTTTTTGTATATGACTATACACTAGTAAATTGTATGGCTTATTATATCCACTAGAGTTGTATTATTGATCGTCATGTCCTGTAATGTAAGTATTGTAAGGCTGTATTTTTGTTTTTCTTTACACCATAACACTGCATTAATAAAAAAAAGTATTCACGAGATATTCTAACCGCATGGTATTGAGGCTATTTTTTCTCGTGAGGTTTATATGTGTGTATTAAGTATGACTATCTGGGAAGTGAAAAATAGAGCGTTGCATTTGTCATTATGAATGTGAGATAGAAAATATGTTGGAAAGTATTGATTCGCGTTGTGCTTGGCGCTTCACGAAATGGGGGAAAAGCTTTTATATGAAATAATTTGAGAGATCTGCCTGGTTTGTAAATGTGTGTGCTGAATCTGTACATCGGTAAGTAAAGTCGAGGAATGATATCAGTTTCATTGTACCTGATTCCTCACAACATAACAATTATCGATAGATATGAATAGATTTTTTTTATCATGGCACGTACTAAAGTATATTATTTCATCTTCAAAATTGAGGGTGGACTTTTTCTCTCACCATTCACCGATATGTCTCCAAATAAAATAGTGAAATGCCGTTACGGGTTATAATATGTGACTTCACAATCGTCTTTCTACGGGGGGAATACGTTATGTAATAAAGAAATAATTCTTTTCGAGCATATCTTTGCTATATATCATTACAGATGGAAAGGGTATGCTAGAGACATCTAAACCGTCAGGGTGATAAGATCTCTTATCATCGGCGTGGGGCAGGATTTCGGTTAGACTAGCCCCCTCGTTGCGATTTCTGTTTCATATATATAAACATAGGCGGGTATTTTTAACCATTTTACTGAACAAACAGCTGTCCAGTATGTGTTTTGATATGCACTTTACAACGATACTTATATTCTGATGCTACTCAAATCTAAATATTTTTTGTATATGACTATACACTAATAAATTGTATGGCTTATTATATACACTGTAGGGTTGTATTACTGATCGTCATGTCCTGTAATGTAAGTATTGTAAGGCTGTATTTTTGTTTTTCTTTACACCATAACACTGCATTAATAAAAAAAAAGTATTCATGAGATATTCTAACCGCATGGTATTGAGGCTATTTTTTCTCGTGAGGTATATATGTGTGTATTAAGTATGACTATCTGGGAAGTGAAAAATAGAGCGTTGCATTTGTCATTATGAATGTGAGATAGAAGATATGTTGGAAAGTATTCATTCGCGTTGTGCTTGGCATATCACGAAAGGAGGAAAAGCTTCTATATGAAATAATTTGAGAGATCTGCCTGGGTTGTAAATGTGTGTGCTGAATCTGTACATCTGTAGGTAAAATCGAGGAATGATGTCAGTTTCATTGTACCTGATTCCTCACAACATAACATTTATCGATAGATATTAATACATTTTTTTATCATGGCACGTACTAAAGTATATTATTTCATCTTCAAAATTGAGGGTGGAATTTTTCTCTCACCATTCACCGATATGTCTCCAAATAAAATAGTGAAATGCCGTTACGGGATATAATATATGACTTCACAATCGTCTTTCCACGGGGGGAATACGTTACGTAATAAAGAAATCATTCTTTTCGAGCATATTTTTGCTATATATCATTATAAATGGGGAGGGTATGCTAGAGACATCTAAACCGTCAGGGTGGTACATGTAAGATGTCTTATCATCGGCGTGGGGCAGGATTTTGGTTAGACTAGCCCTCTCGTTACGATTTCTGTTTCATATATATATATACATAAGCGGGTATTTTTAACCATTCTATTGAACAAACAGCTGTCCAGTATATGTTTTGATATGTACTTTACAACGTTACTTATATTCTGATGCTACTCAAATCTAAATATTTTTTGTATATGACTATACACTAATAAAATGTATGGCTTATTATATACACTGTAGGGTTGTATTACTGATCGTCATGTCCTGTAATGTAAGTATTGTAAGGCTGTATTTTTGTTTTTCTTTACACCATAAGACTGCATTAATAAAAAAAAGTATTCATGAGATATTCTAACCGCATGGTATTGAGGCTATTTTGTCTGGTGAGGTATATATGTGTGTATTAAGTATGACTATCTGGGAAGTGAAAAATAGAGCGTTGCATTTGTCATTATGAATGTGAGATAGAAGATATGTTGGAAAGTATTCATTCGCGTTGTGCTTGGCGCATCACGAAAGGAGGAAAAGCTTTTATATGAAATAATTTGAGAGATCTGCCTGGTATGTTAATGTTTGTGCTGAATCTGTACATCAGATTCTGCAGGTAAAATCGAGGAATGATATCAGTTTCGTTGTACCTGATTCCTCACAACATAACAATTATCAATAGATATGAATAGATTTTTTTACATGGCACGTACTAAAGTATATTATTTCATCTTCAAAATTGAGGGTGGACTTTTTCTCTCACCATTCACCGATATGTCTCCAAATAAAATAGTGAAATGCCGTTACGGGTTATAATATGTGACTTCACAATCGTCTTTCTACGGGGGGCATGCGTTATGTAATAAAGAAATAATTCTTTTCGAGCATATCTTTGCTATATATCATTACAGATGGAAAGGGTATGCTAGAGACATCTAAACCGTCAGGGTGATAAGATCTCTTATCATCGGCGTGGGGCAGGATTTCGGTTAGACTAGCCCCCTCGTTGCGATTTCTGTTTCATATATATAAACATAGGCGGGGATTTTTAAACATTTTATTGAACAAACAGCTGTCCAGTATGTGTTTTGATATGCACTTTACAACGTTACTTATATTCTGATGCTACTCACATCTAAATATTGTTTGTATATGACTATACACTAGTAAATTATATGGCTTATCTTATACACTGTAGGGTTGTATTACTGATCGTCATGCTCTGTAATGTAATAGTAGATTTATAAATTTTCATATATCGTAAGGCTGTATTGTTGTTTTCTCATTACACTATGCGACTGCATTAATGATTGTCATACACTATAAGACTGTTATAGTTGTTATAAATTAATTTTTGGTAAATTTATACTTCAAAACTATATTATTGACTGTAGTACAATGTTAAGTAGTATTGCTGTTTATTATGAATACAAAGACTGTATTATTTATTATTGTCAAAATGTAACTGTATTACTGATTTTAATGCTAGACAATGTCGAATTACTTACTGCCGTACATTGTTAAAATGTATTACTGATCATCATGTAATGTAAATGTTTTGTTGTATTTATCATGAACTTCAAGGCTTAATTACTGATTTACATCTATCAAAACTGTGATACGAAATATGGCCGTATTAGTTAAGTGACATATACTGATAAGCTGGGACATTATTTCACCATTTATAGTTGTTAACATAAAATAACTCGTATGAATACTTTCAAAACTTTAATGAATTATATTCAGGACATTTGTACGTCATTCTACCTTCTTCACATTACTATCTATCACTCACCTTAATTTGTAGGAGACATATATATCATGTACACTTTACAAAACACAAATTAACAAATGAACTGTGATGCGTTTCAACATTAGTTCTATACATACAAATACCGTTAACTCAAATGCATAAATTATAATATGCATTAACTACCTACATAGATATGGCAAGCAGTTTTCGATAGAAATATTATTGTTGATATTAAATGTTTGATTTTTTTAAGGAAAATAAACTATGGCAGTAAATTATAGTCATAATCAATGCATTTTCATTAATTACAAAAACAATATAGTATTATAGTCAATATTTTTCTTATTTTTACCAAACAATAAAATATATTTGTATCAATTAACTATAAGGTTTTACGTTGAAAAATAAAAGTTATATTTGTGTGCATACAATGCATGTAGTGCGAAAAATAACCCTTTTATGCACAGATGTGAAGTGACTTTCAGAGGGCTGATGAAGGATGGTCTATATTTAAATGTATTTTCGCAAGCAATGTCAATAGCGAAGAATTTCAACAGCAACCATGGGAATAGGAATGTGTATGCACGTCTTAATTTCAAATAGTCAGGGGAAAAAATGATATGAGGATGAAAAGCGATGCTTTATAAATTAAGCCACAAAACGAACATGTGCATGTGTTCAAACCAATTTAAAATATAGGTTTCACAGAAATTTGTTTATGTTAACTTTACGCAAAGAACACTCTCATTTCTTAATTTTGCAATGAGTAGACCAATTATGTCATGTTATAGATATGTGCCTTCTGCTGGTGATATAATACGGATCGATCTTCGTGTGAAGTGATTCAACATTTGTATATAATTTATATATGTAATGACGACTGTGTGAAAATGAAATTTGTCAAATGTTCGAGGTAATCCACCCCTTTTTTCAAGACACAAACATGAACAAATACATGACCTAAAATATGAAATGGAGAAAAAACCCAGTTATTACTAAATGTTTATGCTGATGTTCGTTAGAGCCTAATACATATCACATCACGATTGTAAATTGATACACATAGCCATATGTTCACATTGTTTTTAACATGTTCAAAGTTGTTATTCAGTTATAAAATTATACCACATAGCTACCACATTGATTCCAAGTACAATATGTCAGTTGTACATTGTATAACGGTAGAAATTTCCTGCTTTCATTGCATAATTGATTGCGAGATAACCAACCTTGATATCCAAAAGAAAAGCTTATATTTAATGCATAAAATATATGCATATATTATTATACGTCGGTTTTACAATTTATTATTGGTATAAAAATAAACTGTCTACGCATGCAAATATACAAATGTACGGTGGGGTAGTTCATTGTTTCCGTTAGACATGTACCGAAGGAATGTTTTTCTGTCTGGCAGTCACGTTCTCCTCCACATCAATCATTCCTTTGGTCATCCTTTCTTCTCTCCTTCCAAATTCATCCTAAATCCTTATACCCTTTCCCCGATAACCAGATTTAAACAGACACATACGTTTCTTACTTCTTGCTTCTTTCTAACGTGGATATCATTTGCTGAACGGCTTTAATTTATTGTTTCAAAATAGATCTCATCACTTAGTCTCATGATCAAACGTCACAATGGTAATTCATGTATGCATTTTATGAAAATATCACCATTTTCTGCAAGTCGATTCAGATAACAGACAACAATGTCAAGATGTAGGATTCACATTGACTTTCACTCTAGAGTTGGTGCTCTTCCGTTGGTGGTTGTTCATTTCGAAATATAGGGAATTCTCAAAGGACTGTGCGGGAAACGCGTCACTAACACCGGAGTTTGGTCTTGCCACCACGTCTTTTTGTCCCATTCTTACAGACCTGAAAAAAACCCATAACTTCATACAACTGAAGTAAGAACTTTTTCATCTTAACTAAATATTATAAGATTAAGTGAATTGAAATAAAATGATAATAAACAAACGGAGGCAACACGTTTGATTTATAACATATACTATTAATTCCATCATAAACAGAATAATTCAGTACTTAACTGCAATCCTTCCTCTCTCTGTACATTCTAATCAATAAGTTATGATATAAGTTATATAGAATGGGAGCTGTGCGGTGTCTATTGTTTCAGCATCAACTGTTATTTCAGATGTGGTGATGACAAATGTGTCGCTTACCTTTTCCTCTTATATACGACGAACGCTGTTAGGCATATACACATGGCGATGATGACGACAAAAATGACTAGAACCACGTACCAGTTGTCATGGATCCAACTGGGGTGCTGCAAGTCAGACAAATAAAGCATTTTCTCAAAGGCTGACAGACTCAATAGAATTCCCTCAAAGTAGTCATATGAATACGACCATATTGACGTGGAACAATACGATCACAAAGACAAAATTTGCAACATTGTCATTTATCAACAATAACAAATAATAACGTATCAAGAGAAATTGGTATATTGTTAGTATATATTTACATTCAGCAACTTAAATAGACATGTAACGGTCGTATAAACGTAATACTTCCATTACTGCTTTGTAATAAGACCATTAAACAGTGAGATTGTCTACAATCATTGTCAGTACTTACGCCGTCTAGGAGAGGGGCTGTCTTAGGGGCTCCCTCGCGGTAAATAGGCAAGGGTATGTATTGTTCTAGCACCGCAATTTCCGTGTCCTGAAATACTTTCTGAATTGTCTCTGGTTCCAATGTTTTACCATTTTCTTCCACATGGACCAAAACATTCGTTACTAATTCTCTGTAAACAAAAGAAAAGGACAAAATATAGTTAAAGTTTACAAGCAATAAGAACCACAAATCAGAACACGCGGTAGATACCATTAAGTATCAATATTATCATAATACAAAAATGTTTAAAAGTGTTACATCTGTATCCCCACAATGGAATGAAATAAAATCATCCTACGTACCATATATGTTTGCGTGGACGCAACATGAACTATAGCTGTTAGCATTTAAGCTCATAATGTGTTGTAAATGCTACATAAGGAAGGATTCTACGCAACAAAACATCGCAAGTGTTAGTTTTTTTTGTTTTTTGTTTTTTTGTTCATTAATAAAAAAAAAATTTTTTTGTTTTTTTTTTGTTTGGTTTATTAACAATACATATAATACACAATGCAGAAATGTATATCTAAGGCAATACATCAAAACACGATTTTTGATCTGTATTGATGTTATACATACCCATTCGGAAGTATTGCTGGTTTATAATTGATGGCGATTTCTACTTTGCCTTTTAAATTCAACATTTTTTGAAGGAGATTAGTCATTCCTTTCCGAACGTCTTCTCTATTATCTCCGAGTAATCTCCCTTTGAGCATTATGGACGCTATCCTCAATGCTACATAAACAAAAATGTTGTTACATTATAAATATGACCGTGAAAATATCATAAAACTTATCATTTCTCATTTTTTTCTAACTATTTCTCGTTCACGTGTCTCTGATTATGTAGAGAAACGGGTGATGTTATCAATTAAGTATCCTTGTTCCGCACTGGATTTCTTACACCCAGAACAGTGTATTTCATACTTTGTTTATTTCATCTTCATCGTTATTTTCATTGTTGTCTAGCAATGTATGGTTTCCTCTACAGAAATGGTATATTTAAACTGAAGACATGCAGGTAAAACAGTTTCAAATGCGCATTTACAGTTTTGGCAGTGGTAATAGGTGATGTGATACTGATGGTCGTACGCATACTTTCCTAAATTAAGTATTCTAACTAGAAGTCATATCTTACATTATAATGATATACTATAACCTGGTATAATTATTCCTATTTTCAAACATCATGGGGATAATTAGAGTAATTCCAGTGTTACTTTTACCTGTTGAAGTTTCAGGAAGCTGTGTAGTTGTTTTTAATATCTCTGTATCGTTAACAGTAGTAACGTCCGACGTTTCTCCTGTCGTCGTGTCGACAATTACAGTAACGGTTGTCGACTCTATAAACGTGGATATCGTCGTCCTATCCGTGATATTACAGACATCACCAGTGAAACCATCATGACAGGTACAGGAAAATCCAAAGTGTTCAATGGAGCACGTGCCATTATTTTCACAGGGATTACCAGCACAAGGATCTACAGCTTCCTCACATATATCACCCTTCCAACCCGGTAAGCATGTACAAGTTACGTTCCCTGATTCACTCGAACAATTGCCGCCATTCTTACAAGGTGTGTCAGCGCATGTGAAGTCAACGGAACTGCAGTTTTCACCTGAAATTTAATGTGTAAAACGTGACACATCCATTTAAATTAAGATGGTTAGTGGACATACGTAGAGAGTGTAAGTAGTGGACAATATGTGATACGTCACACACAGGGGTACCAGAAGGAAAACAAGTGCAAGGAAAGTAAATTATTAGGTCTGCAAGTCAACATGATTTGTCTTTTGAATTTTGACCTTAAATACTTTAACTAATGAACTATGGAGTTCTTAACATTAATGTATACAACTTCATTAAGTGATTAGAGTCCTGTTAAAGAATGTAGCTCATTTAATATCCGCATTATGTGCTTTCTATTGTTCTAATATTGATTTTGATTGAAAAAATTCGATATGAATATTCATAGCATAAAACGAATAAGAACCATCATTATTACTGACACATTCTATCAATCAATAAGTGCTGACGTCACAGACATATATTACAAGTCTAAATTAGGGATGTCTTCCTCTTATTGACGAATGACTTGGGTGACATATTGTTGTCAATTTTTTCATTCTTTAATAACTGACAGGACTGGTACAACAAGGTCAACATTTGATTAATTATTGCAAAAAATACATACCGGATGTTCCTAATGGACATGCGCATTCATACCCAACAGGTATATCAAGACAAACATGGTTGTTATGACAAGGGTCGTTGTCCAAGCACTCGTTGACCCCGTCATCGTCACAAAACTTTCCTTGCCAGCCTGAAAAGAATTGATGAACATATGTACCAATCTTACACCACCTGTCAAGTCTGCTGAAACCTGCTACGTCATGATTTATCATTACTTAATTAACAAATTAATTTCACTCAGCTGCGTTCTTAAGCCCAGGATCAGGTTATAATTCAGACATAAGCTAAAGTCATATTTTGAATTTTGTTTCAATGTTTGGTTTACATCTCCTTTTAAATTTGAACTTGAAAACATGAAAAATTCCACCTGTAATTTCTTTATTGTTAATAATTGAAATTTGAAATTCCACTGTCTCGGGTTGGGTATCTTTTAGACTACAATTTCACGGAGAGTGGTGTTTTCCTTCTATGTTTTATATGTTTAAACCTGTAGACACCTTTTTAAAAGCAATATATCAATATATACATGTATATAAAGCAAAACATGAAGTTATCCATTTTATCGTGATTACGTCTTGTAGTGCTATTAACATATATATATACTTTTCGAAACGTTTTGTCGCCTTTACCACTAACATAACCTACCAGGTTGACACAACGTTTACTGTTGAAAGTACCTAACAAATGAGACAATTCGTTTACCGTCTTATCGACTGAAAGTAACTATAAAGTATTCAAACAGGCTTACGTCCTAACGACTGAAATTCCCTTACAGAAGGGAAACACGTAACACACACACACATTGTGATTGCATCTATGAAACTATGTAATAGATTCAGTATGTCAAAATAAATTACACTACACAATGCAGGTGTTTCGTCCTTCTACGACTCATACGTAAGGATAGGGACCAAAATGTTCGAAATCCAAATTGGTCTTATCTGCTTTTGAAACAGAAGGGGATGTGAATAAACCCCGTAATTATGTTAATTCAAGCATAAGAGGAGTAGTGGTTAATTTCAAATCAATGATGAGTAAAGTGTGTATGTTATGAACCGTTCCACTACTCAAAAAGAGGTAAATGTGGTACACAAGATAACGGCAAACCTTGTAACTAAGAAATCCTCCTTTTCACCTTATATCCTGTAATAAATGGACAAACCAGTTTACTGACAGTACTTTACACGTTGACATCTGATTTAAATCTCAACAACTAGCAGTTACTTTTGGTAGAGCCCTGTTTGACATCTAAAAAACTGATAGTACCTACCAGGTAGACACACTCGTTTGCCGTCGGTCTTGTCACACGTGTAATGTCCTTTGGTGTTATTTTGTGGGATACAGTACGTATCACAGGCAGCTCCATAGTAATCCTTGTCACAGTACGTCCTCACCTTCACCGAGAGCCTGGTAAGAACATGTAGATAATGGTAACAATTGCAATACTTTTCACATTTGTTTCGGCTTATAGATATGTCATTCAATCAAATGGCGCCTTGCAAACCTTTGTATCAAAATTGAAACGACTGAAGCCACCTACGAAAGTGTGACGAAGAAATACGGACATTTTTAACGACAGAACGTATGAACGTTACTTGTGTATTTGACAATAGGATGAAAGATGAAAGATATCGAATTGTGTTCTCTGTTTGAAGGAGGTATGTACGTCTTGGACTTTTTTAAGTATAGGATGTTGTTGATGTGATATTTCCAAACTGCAATATTTATTTAATAATTTTCAAGTTTTAATGCAAAGAATATTTTCAAAAAATAATTTAAGATTTGCTTCACGACATCTACATTCATCCTCACTGTTTTGATCTCTTTAAGCGTAAATCGTTGCAATTATGCGCACGCTGTACGTATTATTCAAATGAGACATAACAAATACTTTATAAAAACAAAAAGGTAGCATCATCGACTCCTTTTTTAACCATACATACGTAATATATACAAATAGTTACATTGTCACACACATATATACGTTATATACACTTAACGCTATTCACATGGCTGGTAACAATGACGACTAACAGAACAAGTCAGTAAATGATTATGACCGATGTGACTTAGCCGTGAACACAAGACGAAATGACAAAACTACAATGTGTTGACATGGACAAATTTTGCCGACTTAATAGGACATACTGTGAAAGTAATTCTAAGGTCATAGGTCATTTTCAGATAGGTAACAACAACGACTGATTGGCCTCAGTAGTAGATTTATATACATAAACAGTGGGAAATTACCGTAGTCTCCTGTTTTATATGAAATATAGCTATCAATCTTTTTTACCTGTAGAGTACGTACTGTACGTAATATATTAACACTAGTCCCTTTGTAAAAAGTAATGGAGTATATAACAAACGATTGGAAATAAATCCTTGTATCATGTAAGACCTAGGCAATAGCCGTATACTCCTCTGCGAAATATCGCAATCAAATACATCGATATCTGCAACGATATAATCTAGAATGTTTTAAGTAGAACTAGCATGTGTTACATTCATATATCCTAACGAATATATCCGATTTGTTTTCATAATTATGCAATCTGGCGCACTTCAACACGAATCCGATACTGTTACCAACATATTATGAAATGCGGGGGTTGTTTCAAAATCCTAATATATCTTCTGTTGCAGCATTTCTTGTAATTTATATATGTTTCTTACACATTTGTTCGAATTAAACTAAACTCGATTTTATATAACATTGCATATGTGCTCTATATACAATGTATTGTCGTTTCATTGTAATTCTTAAATATCAATTTAAAATACATTTCTGAATAATTGCAGTCATGTGGTAGAATAATAGTCAGAAAATAATATGTTTAACAACAAAACCAAACAAGAAAAAAAATCGAACATTGAATCTGGATGCGTGTTTTTGAGACTTACGTCGTCCTCTTCTTGATTGTATAGCTGGAGGTAGTGGATGACGCCCTATCGGGAGATACCTTCTCTGATATTTCTCTGTACAGGAAGTCCACGTGGTCTGACGGATTGGAACCGGGATCAGCATCATGTACCTCCACCTTCAGTTTCACTGATCCCTGTTTGGTGGAATAATAGGTCAGACTAACAAAATTACAAATGGCGGATAATGATTTGTAAATAAAACGTTACTTAAGGAAAATATGCTTCTTCGATATGACGTGAATACAATTCCACAAGAAAGCACGTAGCATATCCTGTAACAGTCAATAAACTAATGACGAACAGGAATAGTTTATAAGCATTGATAAAACTTATAAATAACACTGTCGTATAATATAATGATTATAAGTAACTTTTATACAGAAAACTTTATAACATATTGTTTTGAAGGTTTACCTTTTACTTTATTTTCAAGACCGACTGGTTCTCCTTCTCAACCCAAATGTGAAAATATTATATTAATTAAACATAATTATTCTATTGAATATAAATAATTAGGTACATGCTCATAGTTTGAACTATTCAGATCATACACCTTGACATACATTGTGATATTATGCCCAAATCAATTGACAGACATTTATCTCACCTGTAATTGGCTATATGTATTTGATACTAACGCTACCTGTCGTTGTAGCCTCGGGCAACTACATATTAATCTGTCTTCTGGGCCATAATTGAGGTCAGATATGAACATGGTTTGACACATGCTGATTTCGATCATAAATCAGCATATTGAACAAGCCCTTTTTAATGTGATATCAATATAAGATGTGTGTATACAGTGAAAGAAGATAATATTTATTTTTTATTTTTAGGATTAGTTTTTGCCTTCTTGCACAGTAATAAATGTAAAGCCTTTTTTTCCGAGTAGTATATTAGCTTATATACATCTTTCGTTTGGGATTTTATTTGCTTTATTTAGAAGCCATGTCGATATCAGTCACGATTTGTGAATATCATACAACAGATTCCAACATTATCGTTTACAATAGAGGCAGAGCAATCTTTTATTTTCAATTTTCTAGACAATCAACTGGAATTCTTTTTAATGATCTTTTGTGAAATATTTTCAGGAAAAATGCAGAACAAATATAGCATCCTACGATTAAAAACAATTGGTTTGGTGCTTAAATGACCACAATGTATTAATTATATTTGTAATCATAGATAATTCTTCATAATCGTTCAGAATCATATAACATACCGGCCAGGATTTCATTCGGAAAAACATTGGATTTTTCACTCCTCCAAAGGATGATCCGAATGTAATTGTGTCAGCATCTGGTATTTCCGATGATTTGAATCTTCCAAAGGGACAGTCCCGTATGTTGTTTGCTCTAAAAATCAAACACAAGAAAAAAACTTGTAAATAATGAATCATTGCGTCGTGGTTTATTGTAAATTTAAAACGTTAACCAATAATCAACAATATATTATCAAACTTTCAATCTAGTACATGTGAACATTTTGTCATCAAAACCATAACAACATTCACTTTCAGCTTTATGTTTGTAAATTCGGCATTCCAAACTTCGTATGGAACAATTATTATAGCTAATTGCGAAATGAAAAGTAGATCCTGAAGTTTGAATTATCAATACATATATTGGATTAGATTCTTATCTTTATATTCGCCTGTTTGTACATATGCATATTTCGGTTGAATGAGACGTTATACCAACCTTTTCACTATGAGACGATATTTTAAGGTTTTGCCTAATCACTTGTGTGATTTGCAAGTGTTCACTATTAGATTATATTTTAGGATTACTTTATTTTAAGTTTCAAAAGACTGTGATGATACCATATACGGCATAGTTATAATGTTATCTTAAATTGCTGTCATTCATGTATATGTGTTTTGGTGCAAGGCCATATTGTAAATTAGACAATGTCTAAATATGTATCCCTGGTTAAAAAGGATATTATTATTATCATTATTATTACCAAGAAACGTGTATTGCGTCAGATGTTGAACCAACCCTTTGACTTACAAGACATGGAGATTGCATATGAGATGATGTGCCAATATATATTGTACCTACCCGGTCGCCTTATCAAGACAAATGTTAAACTTGTGATCACACGCTGAGAAACAGAACACAGATCTGCCATCACAACACTCGCCATTGCTTCCTTCCCCCTCTGAGTTCTTGTAGTGGACGAACTTCACCTCGAGGGTCACCCCAGCCGTGATGGTCTGAAAAACAGTCAGTTAAATGTATTATATTGCCCCGAGCCAGCAATACGATTGGGCAAACGTTAAGAAAGCTCATATATAGATATAACCTATTTTTAACAGAATGTGACGAGGGAAGCTGCAATAAAGGGGAACACAGACAAACATTTAAGTGGTAACGTCACGCTACCACAATTGGTACAAATTTAATTTTAAAATACAATTCGAACACTTTTCTGACCGTGTACCAATTAGGGTAGTGTACCAATTGTGGTAGCGTGACGTTATGTTGCAAGTAGCAGTATTTCAAGTGGTTTGAGTTCAAAATATGTTGTTTATGACGCTGTGGCATACCTCCATCAGTAGTAAAGAAGGAACTCGGTAGCTGAACTATTTTCCACTTCATGATAAAGAAGCATGTAAATATATATATATATTGTAATTATAGACCTGGTACACAGCATTGAGCCATGTAACGCCACATTCAACTATTATTTTATTTATCATTCTTGTGGTATTTAAGTCCGGAGAGGAATATCTGAAAAAAAAATCCGAATCGGAAGTAAACTAACTTATAGTCATATAGGATCATTTTTCAGACAGCCATGGAACATAAATTAGGCATACACAATGACAATGCTATGGTTCGTGGTTAATGGAAATATCCTTCTCGTTATTAGAATCAACGCGTTATTAAACATTTTTTCACAATGCAGATTTAGCAATATCTATGGTGCATCGAGAGTAAAGAAATATTTTCTATTTTTCTGTAATGATTAATACTCATTTAGTGTTGGTGATAACGGAAAAATAAAGGACGACATACAGTGTATTGTGTATTTTGTTGAAAGAGATAAAAAAAAAAAAGTGATCGATCAACAGTTACATTTCGTTTTTATATTTCGTCGAGTATGTGGCGCGTGTCTTGTATTGTGCAATTGTTGTACATTGCATTGTTTTTATTGGTAGAATATTCTTTTTCATGTATAGAATAGTGGAAAAAATGGGTGTGGTATTCGTGGTAGGCGTGACATGTGATTGGCTGTGTAGAAAAGAATAAGGTGTTTCTGTAAGTGTGGTCAAGGGCGTGTCGCAGTTTGGGTCTGCAATAATATGGATATTTATGTTTATTGCTGTGCTCATGCACTTTCTTTTAAACGCGTCGTGTTCTTGTCTTGTGTATATAGGAGGGGGGGGGTCATTGGCCATATTATGAAGCAGGCATGTCCGGGTTTTGGTAAAAAGGCATATCATGTAGCATACTGCTCCTTTTTTACTTCTGAGTTAAACTGTGTTTGGTCGATTACCGTTGAACATTATTGTAATTGTTGTCTTAAAACGGAGATATCACTTGTATGCGTGTGTCTTAAGGTTCACTTTTAGGCGGCTTAGGGATGCGTTTTAACGCGCTGTGACCTATTTCGTTTATTCTTCGTGGGATGCTGCATGTTTTAGTGAAATTGAAATTTTGATGCATTTGCCCAACGGAATTATATCAATGAGTCCGTTTCCTATTTGCTCCCTGCTTAGAACTTAGCTTTTAAATTTAGGGTATTTGTTAATTACTTTGTAAAGAAAGTCGTTGTCTGCGAAACAGTTTCTGTTTACATAAGGAGGAAGACGTTTGCTTCAACTAGTCCTTTCGGTTCTCTATGTGTCACGGGTATTGTGTTTGAATGTGTTAGCCGTCCAATGAAAGTATTCCATGTATTTCCCAAAAAAAATAATGATCCATTTGAGCGTTTTGCCTGTGATGCCATGCTTCTGTTGGTACGTAAGGAGTTTTTTTCTGATACTTCTTACACTTTGGCAAGGTCCATTATGATAATTGGTTTTTTTTGTTATTGCTTCGTGTCCGGTATTGTTTGAATAATTTCAAACGCGTTCTTGAGGAGCAAAATGCGATATCGGGGCTGTAAATCAGTTTGTTGCTGTTGTTTTAGTTGTTTTATGGTTACTATGGTGATAATAGGATGCAGGACTCTGAATAAAATTACTCTATTGGATATATATATATGTATGTCTGCTTTGTTATGATCCTAATATAAACTTATGAGTACCTATTTATATCCGTCTTTGACCATTAAGAGCTGTCATTAATGTTGTTTTAGCACTTACCGGTGTATTACTGACATAACGTATGTCAATGTCACAGTGTGGGTCACATTACACGTGTCATCTTTAGTAGGACAGTGACTAATAGCTACCAACCTTACACGGAACTGAGGACAGGCAACCATTGACATATGTATTGGTATCTACGTAGTGTTACAATTAGTACTGGTTACATGCTGTCAACACAAGGACGAAACAGGAACTTATAATAGACACGAAAGGCAAAATCAAAAACGGAGAATGTGTAATTTGAAATGTTTTCTTAATGGTGAAACGACGATAATGCCAATTTAATTCACTTCAATCATTAAATACGCATGGCAGAAGCCCGTAAAACGAAGAAATTTCAACTATGAATGTACTGATAATGAGAATAATGACAAACGTTTGCATATGAAGTAGAGGACATGTGAATTATAGTGTACTAGACTACACACTTAGGTTAATGTTTCCGCCTATTAAGGAGAAAAGGTATGGATGATATATTCTACTGGTTTACATACTTGATGTATTAAGTAAAGGGTGAAATGGATTGTAGAGCATTAATTAAGATACATGATGTTTGAATTAGAAGGGATAGTAGTCTACTCATTCATATACATGACTTACAGTTTACTTCCTATGTAAAAGAAGATATGAACTAAAATGTAGATTATAGTGTCATGGTTGACACTGATGACTATAAGTTTCCACACTATGTTGTAGGGAAGGATATACAAGATAGTGTATTTATACCTATTTATAACTGTATGTTTATGTCCTATTAATCATATTAGGATATATGAATTATAGTGTGCTGGTCTACAGACATGATTATAATTGCCTGCCGTATGAAGCAGAGGGAGATATGTATTATAAACTACCGAGTATAATGTACTGTATACCGGGAATTTTTTGCTGCAGATTAATTTTCGCCTTTTTTCGCCCTCCGTAACGGCAAAATAATCATTATAGCGAACATTTGTACATAACAAACTAGTAGTATTTAACGTGAAAGTAGTTAAACGTGAAAAGCGAATTCAAAATCGGGTGAAAATGGATTTTAAGGTCGAATGGCGAAAATTCGACTAGCCGAAAATATCCCGGTTTACATCATATACCTGACTATAACTCTCCCCTATACGAATTCGAATTAGAGATATGTATTCATTATATAAAACTGATCATAATGTATACATACGACTATATGTTTCCGCCTTTGATTTATTTGAGGATATATGATTTATAGCGCACTTTTTTACATGACTATAAGTTTCTATCCTAAGAAGTAGAAGATGTATTATACTGGTTAACATAGCTATACGACTATAAATCTCTGCCCGATGAAGAAAAGGGTATATATATTGTAGCGTGTTAGTAAAATACATAACTATCAGTTCCATCTATGACGTACAGGAAGATATATGAATTATAGCGTGTTAGTAAACATAACTGACCATAAGTTCTATCCATGACGTACATGAGGATACATGAATTATAGCGTGCTAGTAAACATACATGACAATTAGTTACATCTACTGCGTCCAGAGAATATATAAATATTGTAGCGTGCCAGTAATCATACATGCCGATAGGTTCCATCTATGACGTACATGATGATATATCAATTATAGCGTGTTAGTAAAAATACATGACCATAACGTTCATCTATGACGTACAGGAGGATATATTAATTATAGCGTGTTAGTAAAAATACATGACCATAACGTCCATCTATGACGTACAGGAGGATATATTAATTATAGCGTGTTAGTAAAAATACATGACCATAACGTCCATCCATGACGTACAGGAGGATATATTAATTATAGCGTGTTAGTAAAAATACATGACCATAACGTCCATCCATGACGTACATGAGGATATATTAATTATAGCGTGTTAGTAAAAATACATGACCATATCTTCCATCCATGACGTACAGGAGGATATATTAATTATAGCGTGTTAGTAAAAATACATGACCATAACGTTCATCCATGACGTACATGAGGATATATTAATTATATTGTGTTAGTAAATATACATAACCATATCTTCCATCCATGACGTACATGAGGATATATGAATTATATTGTATTAGTAAATATACATAACCATATCTTCCATCCATGACGTACATGAGGATATATTAATTATAGCGTGTTAGTAAAAATACATGACCATAACGTCCATCTATGACGTACATGAGGATATATTAATTATAACGTTCTACTAAACATACATGATCATATCTTCCATCTATGACGAACAGAAGGATATATGAATTATAGTGTGCTAGTAAACATGCATGATCATATCTTCTATCTATGACGTACAATGAATTATAGCGTTCTTGTCTATATTCATGACTGTACGTTTCCGCCCAATAGCGTGTACGTTTGATAACGGTTCACGATAAATCCGGGATTGAATTTTAAACCTGTATTGCGCAATGTAGTCTAGACATTTGTGTCCTGACTGTAATGGGTAAATTCCATATTTCTAAATAATAATTTCTTAATAAACTCTTTCAGTTAATAACAACCATACCCATACATTTTAAAAATGCTTGGATTATTTAATGCAGATCATGTGATTTGATATTAATACTTATAGTTTTCACAATAGCAAATCGTTTAAGTGAAGATCCGGTTAGCTTTTTTTCTCTACCAAAAAATGATTTTACAAGTATTAAATGTTATTTGACTATTCCGTACAAAAATGCTACTGTAAATTGTTAAATGCAGATCTCTAAACTTTTTATAAAGTTCAATATTAATCCATACCATAATTACTCGAAAAACATGTGTAAACCAAACATTTAACTTAATTTTGTCTTAACTATAAGTTTAACTGTTCATACATATTTTCCGTTCCAGGCATGACCTGATTTAGTTCCTGAAGTAGGATAGACTGCTAATACGTACTTTAAAATCACATTTTTGTGTCACACAATCATCTTTGTACTATCTGAATACAAAGAAACTCATTTATATTGCTTTATATTTCAACTGTCTTGATCCTTCATCATCTTCATCCTGCGGGAGTAAATCTCCGCTGTTCAGGAATATATATTATCGTGTCGCACTGTTGTTCTTCAACATCAGTAGATCAGTCGACAAGGACGTGATTTATTATCAGATAACTGATGACTTCAGTACATTACTTAGAATGTGAATGAAGACAACGTCGCAATATAACGTTTAATGATAGCCTTTTGTCCTTACCGCAGACAAAGTTAATTTGACAGTTACATAGTTTTACTGTGTTTGATTGAATACGTTCGCTTCCAGCAGAAAATGACACAGTAAACAACTACACTGTACTGTGGTTTCTGATCCGGTCTGTCGAAAAACGACTAACGGTCTTCATTCTCACCATCACATGGCACAAGTCGATACAAAAATACCACAAGAATGTTAAATGGAATATGATCACGTGGGAACAGTACACTAGGACAGATAAAACGAAATAACATGGGTTGCTAAATAATGGGAAGATGAATACACACTTTTATTTGAAACTTAACATCATTCATGATTGCCTTTAAGACGTGAATAGCTGATACATTCAAGCACGTGTTTTTATTTTAGTTTTTTCCTGAAATATCCCTTTTCTTAAATGAATATTTATATTCCAATCTGCTAAGGTAACAGAAAATTCTAGACTTGTTTGCGTTTTGAAATACGTGATTGTCGGTAATCAAAACATATATCTATCATACGTCAAACGTTTGTTTTATTCATGAGGAGGTGTTTTTACTGTAACAGATGATTACATCAGGTCAAGGTACTTTACCTTGCAGCGTTGTGAATTTCAGATGAGCACCTCGTAAATAAGAAATTCTCATAGCAATAGGGAAAAAAATGCCATACTATATCTTCGCCCGGTTCATGAACATATCATTATTCAAATACAACAGTATTAACTAAGCTAGAGTATGAACAAAGTACAGCCTTCCTCTTTATCACGAATTATAAACGTCAAATAACGTAAATTTATATAGTCTAGTCAGATTATTTTGTTGTCGTTAACAATACCGTGCGATGCATTTCCCTACACTTATAATTAGACAAAAGCTTAAATTTAAAGGATATCGTTTATTCTATTGTGAAGTTAAGAGGTTTCCTGGCGTCCCTGTGGTTACCTTTTCATATACAATTGATTTGTAACCATCTAATATATATGTACATGAATAATTAACTTTATCTGGTAAAACGTTACGTTAACGAATACCACTGTATATATGACATAGCTTTGCACTATTTCATTTGTGTAGAACTGACAACTATAATGTATCTCCTATGCGGTTGTTTGCCTGCGGGCTATCGGTATTGACGATATCTATATGTTTGCGGTTCATTATGTGTGTATCATTTTTATATATTTACTAATAATTAATATTATTTCCGTATTAATTCTATTGGTATCATAAGTGTTTGTAAATTCCATTGCATCCTTACCTTTTTATGATAAGTTTTTTGTGACGTAAACTCTGTATAATTACAATCCTTTACATAGAAGAGCAGAAAAAATGTATTGTATACAGACCTGTTAAGTCATGCAAATACTGACCGCGGCCAACGCCTAAAATGATATTCCATTTTTTATGATAATAACTCTTAGCAGGATTTTGTGATAACAGGAGAAAGGATACGAACCTTATCGAGTACATCACAAGCATAATTGACATTATTTACTGATAGACATCCCACTATCTGTATTTTATTATATATGCTAGGTTTGCTTGTTTTTATGTAATAGACTATATTTTTTAAACATTGAAATTCTCTATATATTACATGAGCAAGAAGCTCATAGAATATCAATGATGATTACAGATTAAGTCATAATGTATGTTGACATTATGCCCTACACTTGGAATTATTAGTACAGTAATTCTGATTATAGTTTTGGGTATACTTGTATATGTTGACATTATATCCTACACTTGGAATTATTAGTACAGTAATTCTGATTACAGTTTTGGGTTTACTTGTATATGTTGACATTATATCCTTCACTTGGAATTATTAGTACAGTAATTCTGATTATAGTTTTGGGTATACTTGTATATGTTGACATTATATCCTACACTTGGAATTATTAGTACAGTAATTCCTATTATAGTTTTGGGTATACTTGTATATGTTGACATTATATCCAACATTGGAAACTCATAGTATCGTTATGCTGGTTATATATTAAGTTCTACCGTTGTGTGCTAGCATTCTACCCTACGTGCGTCACCAATAGTGCATCAGTGCTAATTAAAGTTTAGGCTACTGAGGCAATGTACATAACTCAGTATTTGGCACGACTAATACCTATTTCCATTTCTAGCGGACTTGACTTTTGGCGCCTACAATGTAATTGTGAATCTTCATCATTTGTATTATATGTTTACGAAACAATAAAAAAAATGTCAGCATATTATGGAAAAATTCAGTTTCAAATGGCTTACATGTTTAAGTGAGGATTTTAATTACCGAACCTAGCTATCACTGAACCAGTGTCTGTATAAATACTAACGACACCTATTAATAAGCGATGAAGTCTCCAATTGGCAAATATCTTTATAGGCATATACTTTAAAAGTTGTACTCCATATATATATGAATCGGTGTGTGTATTATTGGTTAACCATCAAATAATAGCAAAAGTATATATCAGTTAAAAGCTAGAAGACATACAATCAGCATATAGGCATATACTTTAAAAGTTGTACTCCAAATCGATAAATATTTGTGTGATTATCATCGGTTAACCATCGAATAATAGCAAAACATTTTTATCAGTTAGAAGCTACCCAACATACGATCAGCGGTTGAGTTCAAGACAAATGGGTATTTATAATGTTCTGTATTTTCGCTTTCACAATGGGTATAACAACGACTGCTATATTTCGAAACCTTGTGTTAAAAGTTTGTCTAAACGCAATAGACATAATTCGAAAAGAGGGGGATGCATGCATAATACTGTCAAGAAAGGGAAGGTTCATGACCGGGAAATCAAAACCGACAAGCTTATCGCACATAGTATGAGTAAGCCGTCCCTGTTAGTCAGGTAATTAAGTTTTCGTATCGATGATTTCATGTTCAGAAGAGTATGTTTGTTTAATGTGGTAAAAATGTGTCGTACTGAAATAGGCATCACATCGTCGTTTTATCTTAAAGGTAGTTAAAAACGTAGCTCGTTTGTTTGTTTATGTTTTACGTCCTATTAACAGCTATGGTCATTTCAGGACGTGCCAGGTTTTGGTGGTGGAGGAAAGCCGGATTTCCTGGAGAAAAACAACGTCGCAATGTTTTTGTTACCAGTCCTGAAAAGCTGACTATGAACGACAAGTGTTGGATCTCATTTAAAAGAATGTAGCCATGTTGAAAATTGGCGAAATCACGAAACTGATTTACTAAATGATATGCATTTGTTATTTATATGACTATTTTGGAATTTGTCAGTTATAAATTAATTAGATGTTGCGAGTAAAATGTTTTTCTTCTGCATGACACTTTAAAATGTATTAATTGTGAAAGTAATGTATCACTATTTTGTTTAAACTTCAATAAACAGCCCTTGAAAATAATCCAAAACATTAATTTTCACAAATAAGTTCACTTAAATACATAGCTAGGATTTAATCAAGGTAAACCTGACTAAATCTAGCAAAGACATTGGCCTTATAATTGCCCTAAAAGCTGACGAATAAAATTTGTTGAACTGAAATAACTCGATAAACAATTAACAAGTACAAAAAGTCATAATTCTGATCGTAATTGAGTGTCGAATATACTTCCTGGCAAATGTTGGATGAAAACGTATTTAATAAAAATTATTTTCACGTTTAAAATGACCTTATAATTCCTCCTTCACTTATGACGTTATTACTAGAGTTTTAGTTAATTAGCACGTCTGTATAGGCGATACCAGATAAACACTAGCAGTATCAACTATCAACATCAATATAGAGATAAAGACCAACAATAGATACATTGCAATGAACATGTGTATAGATATATACCGGTACTTATCACAAAACACAATCACATTACAAAGAATGCAGTACATGACATGTCCAAGCCCTATATACAGTACGGTATTACCTTAAGGGCATTCCGTTGACAGCAGTGGCGATAGCACCAATACAATACAGGTAGTCATCAGGTAAATCGGCCTGTTTATTGTCGTATAAGTACTGCCATAGTAAAACAGCTCAGGGTATCCCCTAATTGTGCTGTGTCTGAATCATCACACGCTTGGAGCCCTCAATAATTATATTCCTTGAAAAACAACGTGACACCGCACTTTTTTTGTAAAAAAAAATCCCCCTCTTTTCTTTTTCTTTTTAAAAAACCGGTCATTCGCCATTTACATGGTAAACAGAACATCAATAATTATACTCGTTTTAAAATAGTTTTGCATCTTTATATCAATGAGACAGACCTATTAACTAATGTTCAACGCTATACTAATAGTACAATTAAATCTGTAATAATGAACTCGTTGTGTGTACATATGTATAACCTTATTTTCTGAAATATTCATTGTGATTTTCACAAGTACCTCATAACTGTTCAAATATATTAACGATAATCTTTATGAAGAGCCATAGACGGTTTTGAATAACACAAATTATATTGTTCAATAAAGATGGAAAATGAATGTATACAGTGTATGTTTAATGGTTAACTATCAAATGAAAAATATACCTACCTTTACCAGACAGCCGAGGAGGACCATGAAATATAACGATTCCATATTAAGAAATACAAAGCAACGTATTGTTCCACGAACATATAATCCAGGGACAATTCAAAAGAACCAGGAAAAGACTCGTTCTCTTGTGCACAATCTACAATTAAAAGGACAACAATGGCGGTCACAGACCGGTTGTAAGCAGACGTTCACTCCGTCAGGAAGCCCAAACAAATGTGACGTTTACCTGACAGGTGAGTGTGTCATAAAAAGAGGCAAGTCAGGTAGTCCCACAGCCTTAACGCTGACGAAGATGTTGTCTCGCTAACATAGCTAACCACAGACGTCACTACCGCTACAATTATCACAGCCCACATCCAGCGGGGGATACAGGTGACCTGAAACGTACCTCTTGCTGTCCAAATGATTCAATAATACGTCAGGTAGCCTGGGAACTGACTCGAAATATTCAAACGAAGAAATAAATTACTAATCCTATTGCGTATTACGATTTGTCTTGGTTTGTCACATACAGAGTGATCACTTACTATGTACTTGTCACCTTTCCTTTTTTCTGCATAGTTTTATACTTACTAGTCGTCCTGTTTGTATCTGCTTATTATCCTGACTTATCACATATAGACAGACTTCCTGAGATACATTTCTACTTTTCTAGAATCTTGAAAACATTTTCAATGAAATCTTCTTTTCCTTGAATTGTAGATCCATGGCAAAGTCGTTCAGTCATCCCCCATTTAACATTTAAAAAATCAAAATCTGCCTGGTTATACATATTTTTCTCTCCTGGTTGGGTGAAATGAGTTATTAAATATTGATATACACAGATGTAGCATCATGTCGTTTCATGATACATAGAATGTTTCACTATTTTGTTCTACTGGGGTAACATTCCGTTAAAAAGAATAGGATTACAAAATCAAATGGACCCCAAATTTAATGATGTATGATGATGGAATGAACAGACGTGAAACCTTTAGCCATCACCTCACCACGTGTACAAAAACGTGTGAACATACATGTGAGGTTCATGTTGATCCTCTTTGTAGATCTCCTCTCCAATATCTAGCAGCTGCACGACATATTACTGAACATCATTAGTTCTATATACTGAAAGACATCCAGCGAATAAAGCATTCGTTCGGATTGGGTCTCGATCCCCTGTCCCCACTCAAGGTCAAGAAGCGGTCATCTTGTGTGCGGTGAACAGAAGTTAGGGCTGATCGATTAAAACCAATCTTTTCCAATTACCAAAAGAAGGTTCACTCTTAATGTTGTGTAGGAGCTTCTAGGCAGTATTGCCCCTGCAGGAAAACCTACTGCGCTATAATGCGACCAAACTATATCATACCAAGCACAAGTGTAAAAATCAATATACATGGCCGTGTGAATGTGTATCTATTATATTTTGTTGGTTCATACGAAACATAATGCTAGTAACATTTCACTATTTTGTACATCTATATTGTGTGGTACACAATGTTATATTTATTAAAAAAAAAGTCAAATAAAAATAGCACAAGTTCAACATGCAAGGGCAACACCTAAACTCTATACTGTAAGACACCAAGGGCAACACCTAAACTCTATACTGTAAGACACCAAGGAAATATGAAAAGCTGCCATTCTTATCTCTATATAAAGAATTACGCAAAAATATTGGATAACTTCGCTGAATAAGCCATCTTTCACTTGGAATAACAAGAAACCTAATTTCGCCTCTGTCAGAAACTGTCAAAATTATAAATCTTGTTCTGCATTTTGTTCCTAGAAAGGTGAAAACTGTTCTCTAAAACACTGACTGGATAACGATAAGATATTGTCTTTGACGTATTCAGTGGATTCCACTATGCTATACAATCAACATATTTGATTTTATAACAAGAGTAATCACTTTTGAAGTGGTCAATATCCGTTTCAAATGAGGGTATGCTTTTAAACCTTTTTTTTTTAAAGATTTGGCTACATACCTTTCCAGTGCCGATATTAACTTTGACGAACTATGAATGACTACAAACAGCTAAAGCTATCTATGCATCAGTTGCCCCACTTCAAAAAATACATACAGAAAAATATTACAGATTATAACGTTTTGGACATTCGAATTAATGTTTGGTTTAAATTACCAAATTCCGTTTTTATTTATTAATATTAAATCTCAAATCTTAAGACTGGTTACCAACACGACTATCCATGGATATAGGTTGTTATGAGGAGAGTAAGCTCCCCTTCATTTATCTCGATATGCGTTAGGGCAGCTACTGACGAGGATTTCTGGGTAGGATCACCACGTGCTGATGTGTAGGAGCCTGACTAAAACGTCTAAATGTACCTTTATTAGATAATTATAGACTAAAAGCAAACTGTTATGTAAGCAATTTACTTCAACTTTTTCTAATACGTAAAGAAAACGGTGCGTAAATAATAGTAAGGGAAGATGTCCTACCTTGCTTCCGTAACATAACATATAAGTAACTAATAAACATGTTATTAAATGTAGAGGCTCAGAACGTTAACAGCACATCTGGATTGAAAATATCAGGAATGGTTTGAACATCTGAGATGTGACGTAAATTGTCATTATGTGCTTGGTATCCCTTCTCAGTTCTGTGCAATACATTTGTGTATACTATTTATTGTTACTAAGTTGCTAAACATAACTCCCTGTAAGAAATACATCCTCTTTGATATCCTTCTTTCTTCAATTCATGTTGTTTTGTCATTCGTTATGTTAATTAACTGAGGTCGATCAATAGCTGATATTTTGTAACAGTCATATAAAGTTATCATAATATCTTACAACTGAGAGTGAGAGGGGAGTTCGTTATCTTTTCCAGTCAGTAGGCACACAGGTTATATATGTGTTTGAGAAATGATATCGATGTCTTCGTCAACCGTTTTTCCGAGTCTTTCGACTCCGTGGATCAGGTCATAAGCTTCTGAATGTATTCATGGGATCCGTTATTGGCAACGTAATACCTCATGTCTGATGGTATGAGAGTCCTTCATGTACATTGACCATCACTGTCACCATAGTAACTGTGACTGATTTCTTTTATGAAAAATAATAAATATACGACATTATGCTATGTAAAGACCCTGGTATAGAAATCCCACATCTTGATGTGTATATGTGCAGATAGACGTATGTATAAACGTAAAAGCCATTTTGTCTAATTGTTAAGTCTAGTAAATAACGACTGGAGCAAGAGTTACATGTACATTTTTCTGGTCACTTGCGTCTTTGGCAAAGTCAATATACAGGCTTCATGAGTTTAATATAAAATCAATTTCAACATTTCATATTTAAAACATTTTATATTTATTTTGTGTCTTGCTTGAACTTTTATACAATCGCGATTATCTCCCCTTTTATAACCTTTGCAATTCCATTTAAATTGCTTATCCGTTAAATGTCTCTTTTCAAAGTTGTTCTGCACTTTAAGTAAATGTATTCGATTGATTAACATGTTCATGCAAGGCACAGAGTAAATAGATTTTGTTTAGATTGGTTTAATAATTAACGTATTAGACTGTATATTGGATTTAAAGAAACAAAGGACCAAAGAAGCATAACTCTTTAAATAGTTGTCAAACGACAAAACGTAAGAACTACATGCGAGTAATTTAATGAGGCCTGGGCTTATCGTTCTCTGTAGTATAAAAGACTAAATACAAATAACATGGCAAACATTTTAATAAAAGACTCAATAAAAGAGCTTTAATGTAAATACCAAACGGCTATGGAGACAATGGAGGTGTAAATTAACAATAGATCAAACAAGCTGAAGAATGCACAAATGATTAAAAAATAATAATTTTCCATGCTTTTAATCGGAAAAAATGAATCTGAATTGTTATAAATTGGATACATTTTACAAGTGCAGAACAACTTCGAAGAGAGACATTTAACGGATTGGCAATTTAAATGGAATTGCAAAGGTTATGAAAGGGGAGATAATCGCGATTTTATACAAATTTTAGCAAGACACAAATTACATATATAATGTTAAATTACACTGTGGTTGGGTTTTTTCCCTATAAGTTATTTGTTTTCCCCACAGGTGACACTATTATTAGATATTTTGGGTATGTCTTCCAATCGTTGTCCTTTGATATCTGACTATTGTGATTCAATAACACAATTTTGATATACCAACCATTTTTGGGTGGGTATTTCATCTCTCTCTGATATCTTATTTTCGTATTGCATTCTGTCTAATGCAAAACATTAAGAGATAAAAAAAAAAGTATATACCTGTTGTCATAATTCCGAACATCCAATATAAAAAATGAACGGTGCATATGATGCGTGATTCTGTTCTACGATAGTTGTACATGTGTATTTAATATTTTCCATCGTAAACAATTAATAAAAACAATTTACATGACTGACCCAAGATAAGAGAATTCATCTTTATAGAATGAAAATATTGATTACCAAAACAGCAGCCATACATGTTGCCCAAACATGAACAAAAAACAAAGGAATGAATTAAACATTTATTTTTAGACATCGTCTTTCAAACAAAACATTAAAAAAATATGCGAATGCAAATATTTACAGTTGAAAAGATAAATGATAAACAGAAAATAATCAATTATTTCAGAAAGGCAATTTAAGATATATATGTATATTTACTGTAGGTATAATTTTCAAGATTGTAAGAAACCATAGCCAAACTTGTACCGAGAGACCATTTTCGGATGACCCAAAAGTGGTCTCTGTTAACAGATGGTCCATTAACACAGGTTCAATTAACATAGAATAACATTAATGTGACGTTTAATAAGTGTTCTCATAACACAAGTGGTCTCTTACTAGAGATGGTCTCTCTACCAACTTTAACAGTACCTAGACCTTAACTATTTGTATTTCAGGAGTTCATTGTTCCCCACTTTACTACAATTCTTAACACATCAGATGGGGTTATCTCCTGTATGGAGATACTGTTCCGTCTTTCCATATCCGTTACTGCAGGAGCAACATGCATTCGGGATATACTTAGTATACTTGTGCGTTTTGTGAGCGTAGAGATATACAATATAAACAATTTATTTCTATGACAAACCAATATCATCCAACACACCAGTCTTACCATACATCTATATCCCATCAGTTTTCACATGAGTTGTCAACGTCATGCTTTTACATTCGTATTACACAGTTACAAATGTATACCTATGATACAAGTTAACATACTGAAATATATATTATACATATCGAACAATATGTTAAATATTATAATTGTAAAGTTATTCATCAATTGTAATTCGATATATACAAAATAATTAATTTATAAATCATATCTCAGGGTTATCGAATACACTAAAATATTATGTCCAATATAATATAATACCCTGAAACGATATAATATATAAATTGTGATTCTAATATATCAAATTACCTGAACAATTTTGTGATTTAAAACTCATGATAACGGATACCCGGAAATTATTTATGATCTGCAATTCGGATATATTTAATAGCCTGAAATGACTTATGAATTATAACTTAGATTTACCAAATGCCCTGAAATGATTGAATTGTTACTCTGCTTCATCGAGTTACATGAAAGTGAATTATTGTTGCTTATGTATTTCAATATACCAAAAGGAATTAATGAATTAAAACTAAGTTATAATGAACTGATTAGACATCACAAAATTCGACTTCCGTTTTTTGATCAAAACAGTTTCACAGGAAGCCATATTGTTCATTATCAAAATATAATATCCAAGGTAAATAATGGTAATTTACAATTTATAAACCCGTCAAAAGAGGAAGAGTGCAACGGATAGTTAATTCATATGAAACGTCAATTGTTGATATTAAATACTGTAAAAATGGAAATTATCGCGGTGAGCAAATTTTCGCATTTTCCACGTTGACTGAATAAGTGCAAAAACATCAAGACCGCTATCAATCAAGAAAGTCTCAATGCGAACATTTTCACGAGTATGAAATTTAACTTTTATAGTAGACATGGACTTTAGCAACAGCTATGTTCTATCGAATATCAATAGACACATAAAATTAAGCAACAAAATCATAATAACAGTCATCGTTCTCCTTTCTGAGAGCCTCAACTTAAATACGGTAACCAACACACTGATGAATAACCATTGTCATCACATCACCTAAAGGTTTATCTGACATTTAAATAGCATGAAGGTGAAAGTAAATGTCAATTGAATTTGTAAAACTGCTTACGGTCTGACAAAAAATGGATTAATGCAACTCGTTACACTTGATGATATTTGTCTCAAAAAGTATTTAGTTTTATTGGGTTTGAAACTCGACATTCAGTGCATACAGAAGACGTACAAATGTTAAAGGTTCCAATCCTTTCGAACTAGCATTATAAATGTATTAAAGTGCAGTGTTTTTTAGTTTAAGTCACGACTAGGATAGAATGTAGGATACACACTCCAGTCATGTTATGATCGATTACTTCTTATATTTGACATGAAATACCCAAACAATGGAAACAACGACACAATAATAGATGTGTATGTGAGCTCACCGATCTGTATATCTACATATAACATACAGCTATAATCACATCTGACTGTCATAATCCAATGTACAGGCAAGATAAAACATAATACGAGAAAAAAAAGGCATTAAAAATAAACAAAATAATCTGCATTTGCAAATCATTCCTATAGTAAACAGAATATTGCTTACACCCTACACACATCCCCCCCCCCCCCCCCCCCCCATTTTTTTGTTTATAGTTCGATGTCAGCCCCAACTATAATAAGATACATTGTTGTTACATGTACCTCTGACAATAACGTGATAGTTTGTTGTCACCCCTGACAATAATTTGATAGTTCGATGTTTTATCACGTGCACACGTCATCATTGTCACAAGTGGCTGGGGGAGGGGTTGGTCCCTGGGGCTGGAATGTGGTATAAAGAACATTATCGAACGATAGACTGGCTATTGCGCTCGTTTCGTCCCCTGTATCCTCAGGCATGGTCAGACTCCCGTTACGGTAAAGAGAACCGTTTCTCCCAGCAATAACCATTGTCTTTGGTCTGTAATGTAAAAAAAAGACGTCAGACTCATTTACCTAGTGCGTCAATGTAGGTAACGCATTAAGTTTGTATTTCTAGGGGACTGTCTGTTCACAAAGAAATGATAATGATCCAGTGTATTAAAATACTGAAACCATTTTATTTATTTTTTCTTTTGCGTTTATCGTAGGTTGTGTTGATACTTGAAGATTGTACCAAAATCCTTGTTTATCACGCATGCGTACGCCAATTTAAAAATTGCGCTATTCTTTTTCCTTTTTTTATATACTGTTACACCAATATCTAGTCGAACATGTCATTCGTTGATTTATTCGCCAATATAAAATAATGTTATGATATTAATTAATAATAATGCTTTTCATATTGATTCTTACGTTAGATTAAAATAACTCTTAAATAATCAACAAACCAATATTCTTACAATTTTTGTTTTATTACTGTAAAAAGACATATCGTGTAAGCATGCCTAGTTGTACTTACCGTCGCCTGTGTTTGTATATCACAGTGGCTATGGCTACCAGAGCAATGAATACACCCGCTATCACTGCTAATATATACCAGCGGGAGATTAACCAGTTTTCCTGAAAAAATAGGACAACATGACAAAAAAAATGTAAGATCATGATCTCTCGCACTTGCTGTTATAGTTAAATTCTATAACAAAGGTTTACAATTATTGTTTTGAAATAATCACTAGAAATCCAAAGTAAGGAAACACTTATTCAAAAACGTAGTTTGTTAAACAAAGAAAATAAAAACAAAGGAAGGACGTCAATGTTGTGTAAAAATTTGTGTTACCAGGTCAATTTATCAGTCTTCTAGCAGTGAAACACAAAAACATACTAGGGGAAAAATAAATGACGTGGCATTTGTTAAGTAGCTCACCTTAGTTTCAAAGACAGCAGTGCTTTGAAGATTGCCAACTCTTCCGTCAGAAATGGACTTTTGAACTATTACGGTAGCAGGAAGTGTCAAAGCATTGTCCAAAATATGTTCTGTGTTGAATACATTTGTTAATTCATCTTGGCATATCTGAACATCCTTCACGAAGGCAGATACGAGAACAGTTGTCATGGGTTTACTGTAAAGGATGAATGTTCGATGGGTTTGAAATGTGTAATGAAAATACTGATATTAAAACACATATATTGTATTTTAATATAAGTGCAAATCCAGATAAACGTTTTAGGTGTCTACATTTTCAAATGACCATATAATTTATAATGTATTTTATTATACTTCAATAGGAAGATATGATCAGAAAGATTTTCTTCATTTTGGTAAGTGTTGACATTAATGCGTACAGTACGTCGCATTTAAAACTGAAGGCGCTAAGAAACAATGAGCTACTTAAGATTCCCTGCCCAATGCAGGCAAAACACTATTGAGGTCCAGGGTTCGAATACCGGGCTGGCCCTATTGCATTTTTACACTTAGAACACTGTTATTGCTTCTGGGTTTTTTATTTCATCTTTATTATCTTTTTCATAAAAGTTCCACAAGGTAAGTTTTTTTGATAAATACTTAATAATGAAAGATTTTTTTTCTTTAAAGTATAGTTACAGATCTTGGCAGTGGTACGGGGATCGTTTAGATGTTTAAACGTAATTTTCCAGCGAATATTTAATACTATTGTCGTAGTAAGCATGATGTGTTTAAGAGGGAAGAGTTTGGTGCAAATTAACCAAACTACTTTGCAGCATATATTAAATCTGATCTTACGTGATTTCTTTTTTCCTAAAATTTACTTGGTAAAGCAGTACTTTTGTAAAGCAACTTTTTTCATAGAACCAAAAAGATGTTTTAACATTTTATAGTGTATTTCTGATAAAGACACCTACTTGTCAGTATCAGCCGAGTGTTCAGGGGTTAACACTAGGCGTATGTCCCCCGCGGCAATAGCAAACACGTTGCTTAAAGCCTGTAGCAGCGTGGTGTTGAGTGCCTCCAGACCAGTTGTATCGAGATCACCATTGACATTTACCATAACCGGATCTGTGTTATCTGTGAAAACAATAGGAAGGACACACATATGTGTGAACAAATATGAAATGGTTTTGTTTATTACATGTTTTATACAAATCACCCAGCTAACCTAAAGTTACATTTTGGTCCACAACTAGCATACAATTGTACCTAACGGTCACATGACTGCAATAAACCATAAAACACATCAGGGATATTTATCAATAGCGATTTGAAACTTAGGCATTTAGTAACTGATAGATCACGTCATTTTATAATAGGATGAAGGTAATACATATACAGGTCATTGGGGATATACTAAAGTATACAGTACGCTAAAATGAATTACACTGCACCATACATTCCTTATCAAATATATTTATTGTGTTCGGTAATTGTTTGACGATGGATATAATAGGTTAAATCATATCATAATGTGTAAAATTTTACATTATAACATCGGGGCCAATTCGTTAGCTAGTATATTTTGAAAATATTGACATTCAAAACTTTAAGTTGCATGCATAATAATTCAAAATAATCATCATATGACATCGAACACAAACAGCATTGTGTTATTATAAAGTGCTCGGAAATAACATTTGGAAAACCTTGTGTTAACGACAACTTCAGATAAGTATGCTTTGAACAACTAACAAGGACCCAGTTGTTCAAATATCTGTTCGCTTTAAAACAACTTAACGTTCAGTTTCGTTACAGAAAAGTACGGTTGAAAATGCATAGCATGTAGTATTATACATTCAGGAGCAAGGAGGGCGAACGTAAATGTAATGATAAACGGTATCAAAGCGCACTTAAGTACGGGAAGATATATGTGGTAGAAAGGTTGTTAAACAATATGATAAATAGGTAAGTGTGAACAATGTTTGAATTATCTTAATGTGTTAAAAAACCAGAATCATTTCTTTAATACTTTGGAGTTAGGGAAATGTCAATAAAAGCAACCAATATTGATTTCTTTTTGTAAAACAAGCACTTATTGTCACTTATTGTTACTGCAATTAGAAATAGAGAAGTATGTACGCAAATCTGCAACAAAATACGCCATTACTTAATGATGAAATTGATGTGATATCAACAGTTTATTCAAGTAACCATGGTAACCATTAAGAACAGAAAAGCATTGCACTGACTATGAAGCTTGGCATGATCCAGAGAAGCACAATGTAAGAGAGGCAGGTTTGAAGATGTAAATGAATCAAGAAGACAAGATGTAACAATGTTCATGATCCGAGAAATAAAGTGCAGGAGAGAAGGAAATATAAACGTGCACAAACCAAGAGGATGACCAGACAAGGGCAATGACACCGACTCACCATCAATGCATGCGTTTTTCAGGATGATGTCACAGAATTTTCCAAATACTTCTTTCGGACAAATACAGCGGGGACTTCCATCGGAGACACATGTGCTGTTGTGTCGACAAGGAGACGACCCACAGAAGTCTATCTGGCCGCAAAGACGCCCTTTAAAACCTAGATGACATTCACAATGGAATGATCCAACATTGTTAACGCAATCACCGCCGTTAATACACGGATTCGATAAGCATTCGTTGACATCTGTGGTACATGTTGGTCCAGTCATTTCCGGTGGACATTGGCACGTGAAGGATCCGTTCTTGTTGATGCACGTGGACCCAAATTGGCATGGATTTCTCTCACATTCATTTACGTCATCGTTGCATCTTTCGCCCGTCCAAGAACTTGAACAATCACATCTAAAGGTACCTTGAGCGCTCGTGCAGTTACCGTGATTTAAACATGGATCACCGGCACAATTGTCGATGAATGTCTCACATAATCTTCCCGAGTAATCTACTGAACAACTGCAGGTGAATGATCCCTCAGTGTTTTCACACGATCCTCCATTAGAACAAGGACTCGTGTCGCATTCATCTTGATCCTGGCCGCAGTTTACACCACTCCAACCAGGGGGACACGTACAGACATAGTCACCGTTCATATTCAGACAGGTTCCATTGTTGAAGCAAGGGTTTTGTACACACTCGTTAACATCAACATCACAGTCCTGACCAGTAAACCCATCGCTACACAAACACGAATATCGACCAATCCGATTGTCGCATGAGCCACCATTTTCACATGGAGACAACAAGCATTCATCGACATCATCATCACAAGTAGGACCTTCCCAGTTTGGCGGACATTCGCATGTAAATGACCCTAATACATTTGTACAATTTCCATCGTAAGAACAAGGATCATTCACCAAGCATTCGTTGATGTCGTCATCACATGCTTTACCCGTCCAACCTCTTGCGCAGAAGCAGTCAAAATCATCAAACAAATCAGTACATGTGCCATTATTGTTACACGGTTTACCTTCACATTCGTCCTTCTCTTCCTCACACAGATCTCCTGCCCAGCCACTATGACACTCACAGGAATAGGTCCCCACGTGGTCCACGCACGACCCGTTATTGGCACAAGGGGCACTGGCACACTCGTCAATGTCGGTCTCACACAGGACACCTTTTGACAAATCCAAATGAAACAAAGATAATTTCTTGTAGTATTTTTAAATTATGCATTAAATGGAATGTTAATTGCTTTGCAAACAAACCACGATTGTTGAACATGCACAAATGTATGCATCAAGTACATGTAATACTGTAAAAGTAGAAATTTCCGCGGTGAGAAAAATGTTCGCGTTTTATGGCGTTTAGTTAATTAGATCTAAAATATCCACGCACAAATATTTATCTATAGATCAGATAGATTAAAGATATATAGAATATATAGATTTCAGACTCGTTTGCCACCACAAAAAATGTTCACACTTCGATCAGTTTAAAGCGTCATGACGCAAACATTTCTATACGTGCGAATTTCCATATTTATAGTACTGAACTCTCTTCACTTGATACAGAAAAGTGTGTGACTGTTACAATAATACACGATAAATATCGAAAGCGTTGCATCGAAATTTGCATATCATAACCCTTTAGAAAAATTCAGATTAATTAGCATCTTATTTCCTGTTTGACAGATGATATAAGAAAAGTGTTTCAATCAACATACCTGCAAACCCTTTAGCGCATGAGCAAACGAAAGAGCCATCTTGGTTCACGCATGTAGAGTTTCCAACACATGGCGAGTTGGCACATTCGTCGATATCTAGGTCACAGTAGGTCCCATTCATTCCTGCTGGGCAAACACAGACGAAGGACCCCTCAAGGTTTGTACAAGTTGAGTTGGACAGACAGGGGTTGTTCTCACATTCATTTACATCTATGTCACATTGATCTCCTGTCCACCCCTCCGGGCAGAAACATTGGAACGATCCATGTTCATTGATACACGTGGCATTTCCAAAACAAGGATTGTCCTCTAAACATTCATTTATGTCCTCACAAGTACCCCCAGATAATCCTTCGGAACACACACATTCAAACGTTCCAGGAACGTTGATGCAAGAAGCGTTTGCGTTACATGGATCGCCTATTGCGCATTCATTGACGTCGATGTCACAGTGCGTTCCCGTCCACCCTTTGTCACACTTGCATCTGTACGAACCAAGTGTGTTCACACATGTGCCATTATTACGACAGCTGTTGTAATTGCACTCGTTGACGTCATTATCGCAGATGGAGCCGTACCAGCCAGTGGGACACAGACAGATATAGTTCGTGACAAAGGTAGAGCACTGACCACCATTCCGACAAGGCTTCGAGACGCACTGGTCAATTTCGGTCTCACAGTTAGTTCCTAGCAATTGAAAAACACGATATCAGTGTTTGTTTTACCTTGTAATAAGAAAATCTTTTATCAACTCCAATCGAAAAGGCTAAATTTGGAAAAACTTCTTTTAAATTGTGGTAATTATGAAGTAAAGAACGTATTCTGATCAAAGTACCACGTGCTTTATATTTAAATGATATCTATTCATCCGTCAGTAACAAACCAGAAAACGATTATAAGAAATTAATGTCCCTTTGACCATGTGGTCGATCTAAAGTTAGCAACAATGATACTCACGTTGACCTTTGGACTCAAAAAAAACAAACAACCGACTTACTTTGTTGAAAAATATGTTGGGAAATAACAGACAATACAAGAGGCCCAGTGGGCCTGTATCGCTCACCTGAATATGTTTAAAATAATTGGAATGAAGTAAAGATATAGCAATCCATGGTAGGTGCTGTAAGTACATATGAAATTTCAGAAAGATCCATCCAGTACTTGGGATATAGCGAGAACAAACTTCAAACAGAGCCCCACCCCTATGCCCCTAGGGGGGTCATACCCCTCGTTTATACAAAACTGAGTCCCCTTGGCCCAAGGATGCTCCAGACTAAATTAGGATAAAACCCTGAATCCCTATGGTAGAAGAAGGAATTTAAAGGTTTTACCTCTATTTCCCCTATTGGACCCCGCCTCACTGCCTCCAGGGGGGTCAGACATATCGTTTATACAAAATTGGTTCCCCTTCACCCAAGGATGCTTCATACCAATTTTTAACAAATTCCTGTCATTCCTACAGAAGAAGAAGGATTTTGAAGAATTTGCTATGTTTCCCCTTTTGGGCTCCTCCCGTCTGCCCCAAGGGGGCCACACTCGCTGTTTATATGAAATTGAGTCCCTTTTTTCCCCAAGGATGCTCCAGACTAAATTAGGATAAAATCCCCTAATCCCTATGGTAGAAGAAGGATTATAAATGTTTTACCTCTATTTCCCCTATTGGGCCCCGCCCCTCAGGTCCAAGGGGTGCCACAACCACCGTTTATACAAAATTGGTTCCCCTTTATCAAAGGATGCTCCACACCAAATATGGAACAAATCCTTTCATTCCCTCAGAAGAAGAAGGATTTTAAAGAATTTGCTATGTCTCCCCTATTTGGCCCGCCCCTCAGGTTCCTGGGGGCCAGACCCACGATTTATACAAAATTTGTTCCCCTTCACCGAAGGATGCTTCAGACCAAATATGGAACAAATCCATTCATTCCTACAGTAGAAGAAGGATTTTAAAGAATTTGCTATATTTCCCCTATTGGACCCCGCCCCTCCGCCCCCAACATTTATACAAAATTGGTTCCCCTTCCCTCAAGGATGCTTCTGACAAAATTTGGTCAAAAACTGCTCAGTCGGTCATAACAAGTAGCGTTTTAAAGGAAAAGTTGATGGACGGCCGACGGAGGATGGGACGCTGCGGTGTTTTTAGCTCACCATGGTCCTTTGGACCAGGTGAGCTAAAAATGCAACGCGACGGCACCAACACCCTCACCGCCATCACCTTCACCACCACCACCACCACCACCACCACCACCACCAAGGAGTGGGTCAAAAGTCGCGGGAACATATATATCTAACAGGTATTGTGAAGTCGTACGTACCTTTGTAGCCGAAGTCACACACACATCTGTAGACTGACGCCGTTCGATCACAGGAGCCGTGTTGACACGGGCCACAGAGGTTTACACGTTGGTTACAGGTCTGGCCCCTCCATCCTGTCAGAGAATAATTATAGAGTACAGGTTACCACTACAGGACGACATTCTGTGGTTGAATTTTCCTTTACTAGTTTAGAGTTTTAAAAATAACATCGTACTTGCTGACTTCACCTATTAACCCATTCACAACTGTAGACCATCATGGACTCAAGCAGATCAATGCATGGTAGAGTTTACTAAAGTTACATGGGGTTGAAAGGGTTAAAACCAACATACTACTAAGCTGATGTGGAAGGATTCGGAAGACAGCTCACGGGACTGGGATGTGTTTTCGTGACCTTTCTTTTCATTTAAAATGATACCTATCAGCATCACCGATGAGTCCCAGAAGGACGACACAGCTGTACGGTGCAGTGAATTCGTTTATGGCATTAAGACATTTTATAGGTGCAATTAAATGTTTCTTCCATTAGTCTTTCAGTCGTTTTCACTTAGTTTACTATGTATGTAATATCATCAATACGCTGTATACGGTGCTAATGAAATTTATTTCCTGAACATATATCTAGGATCGTACATGAGTTTCTATTTCATATGAGATTTATGAAACGAGTCTAAGAATTTTTCAATTTAGCAAGCTTCTGGCGAGCTAAAATGAAAAATTCGTGACGAGTTTCATCAATTTCATATGAAATGAAACCGATTGTAAAATCCTTTTTTATCACATTATCAAGACTTGTGGCATTTTTTCGTGTAAAAACGATAATTTTCATGCAACCTTGAAATGTAAAAAGCCGTCATTTTGACTCCAGTGCGTACGTCTGTGACGTCATGTACTTGTCCTAGGCGTGACGTCACAATTGAAACATCCAGTCACAGGGCTAATAGGTGATTTTACATGGGTTAATACGCAAAAATACATGACATTGATATATTCACTGGATAACACAGCACATTATGTGATTAACCTTGATAGCAGATCTTGGCTCCACTGGTTCCGTCACACTTGTAATGCCCCATCCAGTCGTTTCTGGGACGACAGAATGTAGTACATTGCGGGCCATAGTAATTTTGATCACAGTACACCCGGATGACCATCGAAAGACTGCAATAGAAGATCGAAACTGTTATTTTTGTACTTACCAGTATTCCCTGTCACAAAATACACGCACGTGGACTTCTAACAAACAAATTGCATTATGTTATATTTATGCATGTTCCTATGTTCGTGTAAATTTATATGATATACTCTTTAGTAGAATGAGCGACTAAATGAAATCTCTTTTGGCATTTAACTTTGACATCTTGACACATTTTTTTGATGAATTGTGTAGTTAAAGCACAAATAATAATAATAATATACAACATTTATATAGCGCCCTATATAATTTGTAAAATGGGGAAAATGGGGAAAACAGTAATCCGCCAAAATTCGAAAATAAACTGCAGTACTATTTCGGCCACCAGATTAGGGCCAGGAATTAGGTACCATATACACATGTACGTACGTAGTTCTTCGTTTGACGACCACGCGATGTGTTCGTGAATAGGTAACCTCAGTGGTCGAAAACTGATTTTGCATGAAATCAACAAAATCATCACTGTTGTCATCGATATCCGTGACTCTCACCTTGATCTTCACTGTCCCCTGCCGGCACACAGAGAAAACGGCAATCAATTTAACGCAATAGCGAGTTATAGAATATATCAAGGCAACCCAACTGGTTTGTGTTGAGAGATAAGAAACATAATTCAATTAGTATCAATGGCACTTACTTCCATAACAGTTACATTCAGCTCTTACGCAAATGAGTTCCGCCTTCCGAAACCTTTACGATTATTACATTTTTTACTTAACTCATAGATTTCACATTTGATAAAGAACAATCATTTGGACAACACCTGGGTATTTATGATAATTTGAATAAAAAGAAGTTATGGACGGAACTCTACCACAGATAAGACCACAAATGCGTATATATATGATTTTTTTTTTAAATCATTTAGTTTACGAGATCAGATATACTGCCTAAATAATTAAAACGAATGTGAAAACCTACCGGCCACGTTGACAATCTAAAGGAAAACGGGTTACTGAGACGTCCCGCGCGGCCCGCGAAGGTGATGGTGTCGGCATTGCTGATCTCCCCAGTATCCGCTCGCCCATAGGCGCAACGGTTGATGGAAGACGAGCTGGAACACGGGAAATCGTCAATATATAAACAAGGTAAGTAGCTTAGGGGCAACAATCTGTAATTACTTCTTGTTCTTTTTGTAACGATATCACGTATGATCGACAGACGAACTTCCCCTTTTTTTTTGATAACTACATTCTAGAATTGCACAACGTTAACTTACCCTTGCTACTTTTTGAAAATCACGATATATAATTATGAATATAATAAAAGTACTGGCTGGTATGACTTTGAGTTTGTGGGGGCGGGGGTCTTGAGACCCCGGAACCCCTCTAGATTCCGCTACCAATCACCACACCATCACATTAATTGACCGCTTGGTTACCTGGTCACTTACCCGCCAGCTCTGTCCACGCACAGGATAATCTTGTGGTCACACGGACTTCCGTTAAATAGCCAGCGTCCGTCACACGGATGACCATTGTCGCCCTTACCGCCGGGGTTTACATACCTCAGCAAGCGGATCTCGATTTGGGCTGTACCGGAAACTACCTGGAACAACATGTACAGCGAAGACGTTCATAATATATGCAATGTGCGGGCAGTCACCCATCCAGCTACTGACCACACTCGACGTTGCTAGTGAGCGGTTCCCCTCGTAATACTGCATCACTGGAAATTCCCCCTCACATTCTTTAGTGGTTACATATTTATCTAGCACCACCAAAAGTGTGACGTACAACCGTTTATTACAGACTTGCTCAAGTTCCAATTTCGGTTCAACCAAATGCACTCTCATGTAATTTACATCAATTAACATTTGTGATAAACTTTTCGAGATAAATATTTATGATTTGGTTAATAATGATATACTTACTCAAAAGACAATGCTTCGTTTATTAGATACAATGGAGTTATTTCTTCTTATATAAAACAAAATTATATACGTTACCGAACACAGTAGTGTAAGGAACACCTCCCAAAAACTCTGTTATTAATGAAATCATCTAACAATGAAAACATCCCAGTCGTTATCGTGGTATGGACTCTTCTGTCCGAGGCCAATCCTAACAGCATATCTTTATTTCAATCTTTCACAGCACAACCATTGTATATATATAGTTATAGGATGGGAATCTCAATTATTTCCAAGTTACGACCACGTGATAAATCCCTCAAGGTGTGGCCAGACCTTATAATCAGTTATGATAAATCATGAATATGTTTGTCACTTCATGCCTAGCAATTGTATGTATGTCTTTGGGGTGGGAATCTCCACCGTTTCAAAGTAATGAAAAAATAGTTGCATAACACTTGAGTGTCACAATATCATGAGCCCTGCATCTTGTTGGAACATTTCACGGTTTTGCATTAAGTGCCTTTAAGCGCACCGAAAGCACATATAGACTAAAGCTTGTTAAACAATCTGGGGAGGACCCTGTACCCAACCCTCTTCCTAGTGTAAGGGTCCCAAACAAGCAGTGGTACGCTGTACCTTGCTATGTGAAGATGGCGACCGTTATAGTTTAACTCATCTTTAGCTGTTTAAAAAAAATCATACCACATTAACAAACCGTACAACAGGATTAAACTGGGACACGAGCGCATCTTGAAGTATGTGTGTTGAGATGCTGTTGAGATTCGACACAAGTACAAGGACCTGTCATGACCCGGGTCTTATACTTCCTGAAACTCGAGCCATCCCGCTGTCCTCGCTTCGAAAGTGTTGATTCACGGAATAGTACTTACACGAATTCCAATTTTCAGAAAGTCTGACATTAGTGAACGACAACTCGGTCTTCCATTGTGTATTGAATTAATCTAATGCACTGTACATGGAAATAAGAATATGCAAATATGAATAAGAATACACATATGCTATCAGAATCGTTCTTAGGTCAACCCCATCCCTGGAATTTTTGCTTTTGAAAATATATTTTTTCAAAAGAAATGTAAAATATCAACCTTGGTGTTCCATTCGTGATTAATAACACATTTATAAGAATAACAATATCATATTTACCTCTATTAAAGTCAACGTATACCTCTGTATTGTAACTGCGTCGATTGTTTTATTTTTGAAATATCCCTTGTTTCTTCAACGCCTATAGCGGTGTGAGACTTTATGTTTCTTGGGATTTTAAAAATAAGGATACAGATTTCCAGTAAAAGAAATGTGGTAGAGGGCCTTGGAATTATTTTGAAAATATTAAGTTGTGCAAGGAAGAAAACTAAGACATGTTGTTTGCCTGGCTTGATATAGGTTATATGTGAGCCCCGAGCAAAGTTTAGGTACTTTCTTTACACAAAGCTTACTTCCCATCAACACTATACAGACAAAGAACATTGTGTGGGCTAACTTGAAGAAACCCTCCACCGTCTTCATCCCACTTTCCATTCCATGTTCATTAACTTATTGTGTACCACTAATTAGCCCTCCCATCGTATCTTAACTCACTTTAACAACCAATGTCCAAGACTTTATGAACCGGCAATGACGAAAACAAACACATATACATTCATTGATCCTGCAATGGAATAATGTAACGGCCATATTGAAATTCTCATAAAACACACGATTTAACCTCAAAATTCCTTGGAAGAATATAGGAAACAAAAAAATCACACATGATGTGGTAGTTTTGTTATTTCAGAGACGATACATCGGCTTCGCCGGAATATATTGAATTAGAGCCGAAATTCTCTGTAATATCCATATTCCAGAATTAAGAATTTACGAAATGATAGATTGTAACTTAAACACATTTTCTATATCATAATAAAGAATTGTCTTTGTTCGTTTTTCCTTCCTTTTGCGAAAAATATGCAACTTCGAAAGGGATATAATAATGTGACTTTATTGTTGTCAGTAAGATGGAAAATTCTATCCATTGTCTCTCTCTCATTTCATGACACCTGATGCATGTACTTGTCTGTCCGTCTTTTTCTTGTCCGTCTGTCTGTCTATATGTCTTGCTGGCATCTTTCATTTCCCATCTGTTTGAAACAACCATCCGTTCACAGGGACCTGATAGTTTGTTACAGCTATATTTGAACCTAAACTAATATAAGGTGTTCAGAGTAATTTTACATGTTTTAGGGGTTTAGATCGACTTTCGGTAAAAATGACACCCCCATGATCATATAAACGAGAAGGGCGTATATTTAATCAGTCGATCTAAACCCCTAAAACATGTAAATTAACTCTGAACACTTTAATTTAGGTCCAACTATTAACAAATTATCAGGTCCCTGTGCTCCCGTTTACTTCGCTGTATCTTTCGCTGTAAAATACATCGTTGTAAGCTTTTTAGCTTTTGGAGATGTCTTGATTGTATTTCCTTTACTTATTTTACCATCCAACCGACCTAGCCGCTCTCACTGTATATAATTTCTCCATTTCACATTCATATTTTACGTGTGATACCTTGTTATCAAACCTAAATATTTGTAGTTGTGGAGGCTGACTAACACTCCAAATTACCACAGTCAACAGTGCTACCGACCCTGTATATATACAGCTACACATACAGATGTTATCACTAGTGCTTAACACACAAAACCTAAATGCTCTGGTATTAAATTTCACAATTGTGTCATTATGCGCTTAAACTGGAACTAAGTATATCAAAAATACATTTTGCCAATATTTTCCTTGACATTTGTTTTCATTACATTTTCCTCTGTTTAGAAAAAGTAACGTTGAAGAAAACCTTAACCTCTCCGTGGTTTCTATCCCGGCCTCCCGGGGTTCCTATTCCGAACACTCCCGTAGTTCCTTAGGGAACATCCCGAGAAAATATCGTCAAACCCACACAGGTTAGTGCATGATGTATACTGTAGTACAGTTAATGTTTTTTATTTACTTGAAATGTATGTCATTGAGCGTGAGATTCTTTGACGTAAAATTGCTCCAGAAACCCCAGTAGGTACATATAGGCCAATTATATTATATTATATCCACCAGTTTAGTTTGTTCTTAAAAGGGCGAAGTTCATATCCAGTGCAAACGAGAGACATAATTACACTTTGCTGAAAATATTTCATACATTAGGAAAACAAAGCATGAAGTTATATTCATTATCTATTTACATATTTATTTACAATGAAACATTAGTAAGTGTACACGTATGTTTCCAGCAACCTAAGAATGATAAAGCAAACCTTACAAATGTCAACAAATGAATTTCAGTCCAAAATAATATCTGTTCCAAATAAAGCAATACGTACAACATGCTCATTTCTAAATTGACCCCATCTTTCGTCGCAATGAACGATATATTACCTACAGATATTTAGGCATTACAGTATCTGTTAATCAGTTTGGCATGTTAGAAACTCTCTAAATGACAGAATGCTCAAAAGATCAAGAAACAAGTACAACACTTACCTTCAGCACAGAAACCAACACAAGCAAAATTATCCAGAAGTTCATTTTCTTGTTTTTGCATCAAAGATCTACTACAGCCAAAATCCAGCAAATAGATGACCATCCGACTGGTCAGTTTCACAGGCTGTTTAAGAAGGGTTAATAAGTGGTCAGTGACTGTTCAATCCCCTACATCCGTTAGGGCAACGAGCGAGCGTGTGTTTGGTGACCCGATTGCGAGTAAGTATACATATGTTTCTGGTAAGCGTCAAAACAGCCCCGGCGCATCAGTCCACACATCTCACGGTAGATCGCGTGATGGCCCCTTGCATGTAACTACGTCACACGCACGCGTGTAGGCCTGTGCTGATTTTGAAACAGAAAAGTTGAAAGCTGTCAAAAGAGAGGTTTTCATGGAAGGGGATAGGTTGTGGATTGTGAAACGAAAACCTTGAAGTTAGTGACCTTTGTTCATTTTTTTCCCGTTATCTAATGAATGGTCTGTGTCAGTTATGACACATGTTCGTCAGTTTGGGCCAATTTGATATTAAAAAAAAAATCGAACTAATGTCAAATTTGCAAAAAAGAATAGTTACTAATTACTTCCGACCGACTCGAACTCATAATTTCCTTCATGTCATAAATCCAGTGCTGTACCGCCGCACTATTTGTTTCATTTCCTCCCATAAACTTTACAACCAGAAGTACTGTAACTTCCGTTACTCTTATAGCTGCTACCTTAAATGACCGTAGCTGTTGACAGGACGCTAAACAATACTAAACCAAACAACTGTCATCGCTCCCATAACAGCCACAATGTAAATTTGCATCACTCCAATACCAGCTATAGATTTTATCACTCCATAAACTGATATAGCTTTCATTATCCCCTATACTGATTTTCATCATTCCAAAACCTTAATCTATAGGTTGCATCACTCATAAAACTGATGTTGGTTGCCTAACTTCTATAGATTTCATCGCTCCTTTCAACTACTATAGGTTTCGTTACCCTTATAACTGCTATAGGTTTCGTTACCTCTATAACTGTTATAAGTGTCGTTACCTCTATAACTGTTATAAGTGTCGTTACCTCTATAACTGCTATAGGTTTCGTTACCTTTATTACTGTATAGGTTTCATTACCCCTATAACCCCATGTAGGTTTCGTTACCCTTATAACTGCTATAGGTTTTATTACCTCTATAACTTTTATAGGTTTCGTTACCCTTATATCTGCTATATGTTTCGTTACCATTATAGCTGATATAGGTTTCGTTACCCCTATAACTGCCATAGGTTTCATTACCCCTTTAACCCCTAAAGGTTTCGTTACTCTTATAACTGCTATAGGTTTCATTACCCCTTTAACCCCTATTGGTTTCGTTACCCTTATAACTGCTATAGGTTTCATTACCCATTTAACCCCTATAGGTTCCATTACCCCTATAACTGCTATAGGGTTCGTTACCCCTATAACTGCTATAGGTTTCATTACCCATTTAACTGCTATAGGTTTCATTACCCCTTTAACCCCTAAAGGTTTCGTTACCCTTATAACTGCTATAGGTTTCATTACCCATTTAACCCCTATAGGTTTCGTTACCCTTATAACTGCTATAGGTTTCGTTAGCCCTATAACTACTATAGGTTTCGTTACCCTAAAAACTGCTATAGGTTTCGTTACCCCTATAACTGCTATAGGTTTCGTTACCCCTATAACTGCTATAGGTTTCGATACCCCTATAACTGCTATAGGGTTCGTTACCCCTATAACTGTTATAGGTTTCGTTACCCCTATAACTGCTATAGGTTTCATTACCCCTATAACTGCTATAGGTTTCGTTACCCCTATAACTGCTATAGGTTTCGTTACCCTTATAACTGCTATAGGTTTCGTTATCCTTATAACTGCTATAGGTTTCATTACCCCTATAACTGCTTTAGGTTTCGTTACCCCTATAACTGCTATAGGTTTCGTTACCCTTATAACTGCTATAGGTTTCGTTACCCCTATAACTGCTATAGGTTTCATTACCCATTTAACCCCTATAGGTTTCGTTACCCTTTAACCCCTAAAGGTTTCGTTACTCTTATAACTGCTATAGGTTTCATTACCCCTTTAACCCCTATAGGTTTCGTTACTCCGGTCATTGCTGTAGGTTTCGGCACTTCTCTAAAAGCTGTATTTTCCATCTCTCCCATAACTGTTATAACGCTCACCGCTCATTTTTATCATGAACATGCGAAAAGAAGCACACAGACGGGGGGAAATCGAAACATCCGAATGGTATTAGTTTCTGGAGATTTGGAGATCATCTCTACGTAAGGCACGCACCATATCTGTCCGGCACGCACCATTTCTGTCCGGCACACACCATATCTGTCCAGCACGCGCCATATCCCAACCGGTTTAACACAATTGAGAAAAAGTTCGCCTCAGTCACGCTTGATTTGTGTGATTACTGATTATTTTGATTATTTATGATAAACAATATGACAATTTCGAACTCTTACCACAAATCAACCCACGGGCATCTGATCCATCGGGCTAACACGGAGGTCTCGAGTGAATACGGGATAAGATATGTAAATGGTCATATGATAACTTATTAATACTTCCAAACATATGTTTTGTTTATTTAGTACAAGGGTATACACCATGTGCAGAGACTGATATATGCATTTGTACATCGCCACTGACTCACGTGGTTCAACTGTTGACAGCCAGACCTAAAAGCAGCCGTACTCAGTACTGTTTCCCAATTCCTAAAAAAATTGGAATCCTATCAAAATGTATACCAAACATAATTATACCCCCCGCAACGAAGTCGATTTTTTTTGTCCGGACAACACCTTCTAAAGTAATGGACTAATTTCAACGAAACTTTCCAGATAAGTTAACTACCACCTGAAGTTATGCATTCAAGTATTATTTTTTCATTCTGACCTTTTTTGTTTACGAAGTTATGGCCCTTTGTTGAAAAAATCCTGAAACTTTTTGTCCGGACAACTCCTTCTAAAGTTATGGATCGATTTCAATGAAACTTTCTAGATATGATAACTACATATATGTACCACCTGAAGTAGGCATCCAGGTATTATTTTTTTCATTCTGACCCTTTTTTTGGAGTTATTGCCCTTTGTTGAAAAATACTTGTCCTGACGAGTCTCCTCCAAGACTATGCGGCCAATTTAAACGAAAGTTTTCAGATATGATAACTATTCCCTTATGTTCTGCATTCAGATTTTTGTTTTAACCCGTTTTTATGGAGTTATGGCCCTTTCTTAAAAATTCTTGTCCTGACAACTTTTCCTAATCTACTTGGCCAATTTCAAAAACTTTTTAAAGATATGGTAACTGTCCCCTGGCGTTGTGCATCCAAGTAGTACTTTTTCATTCCAACCCTTTTTAAAAGGAGTTATGACCCTTTGTTGAATAAACCTTTGTTTGCCTCATAAACTGCAGTGCCGATTTCAATGAAAGAGTACATATATTGTAATTACCCCCTGATGTCGTGCATCACGCTAGTACTTTTTTTCATTTCGACCCTTTTTAAGGAGTTATGGTGCTTTGTTAAAAAATCTTTGTCCCGACATTTTCTCCTTAACTACAATCTAATAGGACAATTTTAGCAAAACTGGTTCATCTGGGCTAACAAAATTTGGTATGTATGTATGTTTTGGCATGGGGAGGGAGTACAGGAAGTATGTCAGTGACCAGTATACTTAAATAAGTGTACATCTCAGTCATTAAAGAAATAATTACTGGTGGGAGACTATGGATTGCTTGTCAATGCTTTGCCTAAGTATGTCTTTAGCTTACAGTTCTGGTTTACAGCGGGGGGTATTAGTTAGCCTTTGGCTTATATGTTTAGTTTAGACATGTTTTGTTTATGCCGGGTTATATTTGCTATGAACTTAAAAATACCAATTGTTCTATAGTCCCATTGAAATTAGTCATTAGTCAGAAATATCTCACTAACTTCCAGACGTGTGTACAGCCCGGTGGCGTACTATGTACCATGCATTACATACCAGAAATTGTTTGTATATATGTAGTAAACTTTAATGACGCCATAATTACTCTTCGGCCATTTATAGCAGGCATTGCTATTATGTATAAATTTGACATAGATAATGATGTAATAATAAACGATATGAAAACAACACGATTGGTAACAGCGTATACGTGTTATCTCGCTTAGTAACAAAGTATAGGTGTTGTTACAATGAGTAACAATGTATACGAGTTGTTATAATGAGTTACAGTGTATACGTATTGTTACAATGAGTAACAGTGTATACGTGTTGTTATAATGAGTTACAGTGTATACGTGTTGTAACAATGCGTAACAGTGTATACGTGATGTAACAATGAGTAACAGTGTATACGTGTTGTAACAATGAGTTACAGTGTATACGTGTTGTAATAATGAGTTACAGTGTATACGTGTTGTTATAATGAGTTACAGTCTATACGTGTTGTAACAATGAGTAACAGTGTATACGTGTTGTTACAATGAGTAACAGTGTATACCTGTTGTTACAACGAGTAACAGTGTATACGTGTTGTTACAATGAGTAACAGTGTATACGTGTTATTACAATGAGTAACAGTGTATACGTGTTGTAACAATGAGTAACAGCGTATACGTGTTATTACAATGAGTTACAGTGTATACGTGTCATTACAATGAGTAACATTGTATATACGTGTTGTTACAATGAGTAACAGTGTATACGTGTTGTAACAATGAGTTACAGTGTATACGTGTTGTAATAATGAGTTACAGTGTATACGTGTTGTTACAATGAGTCACAGTGTATACGTGTTGTTACAATGAGTTACAGTGTATACGTGTTATTACAATGAGTTACAGTGTATACGTGTTATAACAATGAGTTACAGTTTATACGTGTTATTACAATGAGTTACAGTATATACGTGTCATTACAATGAGTAACATTGTATATACGTGTTGTAACATGAGTTACAGTATATACGTGTCATTACAATGAGTAACATTGTATATACGTGTTGTTACAATGAGTTACAGTGTATAGGTGTTATTAAAATGAGTAACAGTGTATATGTGTTATTAAAATGAGTAACAGTGTATATGTGTCATTACAATGAGTAACAGTGTATACGTGTTATTACAATGCGTAACAGTGTATACGAGTTGTTACAATGAGTTACAGTGTATACGTGTTATTACAATGAGGTACAGTGTATACGTGTTGTTACAATGAGTAACAGTATATACGTGTTATTACAATGAGTAACAGTGTATAGGTGTTGTAACAATGAGTAACAGTGTATACGTGTTT